TTAAATGCCACTTTAAAACACCATCTTAATAAATACATTAAACATGATAAAAAATTTATTGAAAGATTAATAGATGATCTTTATGTCACAGACATCTCTGGCTGTGAAACAATTTCAGAAGGAAAAATGCTTTATAAAAAATCTAAATGTATATTTTTAGATGCAGGATTCGAATTAAGAAAATGGATTACAAATGATCACGAATTACAAAATTATTTTAATAAAAAGGAAACAAATCAAAGTGAAAACTCAAAATGTAATCTAAAAGTTGATGAATTAAAATATTTTGAAAGTGAAATTATTAAAAATGAAAACAACAACAATTTTATAAAAATTTTAAGAATTGAGTGGGATATATTAAAAGATGAATTTGTTTTTGAGTTTGAAGAATTTGTTAAAAATGCAAGAATGCTAAAAATTACTAAAAGAAATATTCTTAAGATAGCAGCATCTTTCTTTGATCCTCTAGGTTTTTGTGTTTGAGAGAGTGAATGAGAGTAGTAAGCGTGTTCAATTGCATTGATTTTGTGACAGTTCTAAATTAATTTATTGTGCCGTTATTTATCTAGTTGTAGAAACTAGTTTAGGAGTGAATAGGAAGTTTTTAGTTTCAAAGTCACGTGTTTCACCCTTAAAAGAATTAAGTATACCTAGATTAGAGTTATTAGGTTGTGTGTTACTGAGCCGACTTTTAGAGGAAGTGTTAAGAGTTTTGAAGGGAAGAGTGCACTTTGAGGATGTAAGTTACTGGTGTGATTCAGAAGAAATTCATTGTATTGGATTAAAGGTAAGGGAAGAACGTGGAAACCATGGGTGGAGAATAGAGTGAATGCCATTAGAAAAGTGGTTGATAGAGAAAAATGGAATCATATTAGTGGGGAGTTGAACCCAGCTGATTTTCCTACTCGAATAAGTAATTTTGTCGATTTTGGACATTAATTGAAAGGACCAGAATTTTTGTTAAATATGAACAAAGAGATATATGAATTTAAAGTTGATAAAAAGTTTCAGGTTGATATTATGTCTGAGTGTAAGAGAGGAGAAAATGTAGTTATTTGTAATGTTGTTTTGGACTCATCACCAAGTTTGAGTAGTATCATTGATGCATGTAGATTTAGTTCATTTGAAAAGTTAATTATTAGTACTGGATATGTATTTCGATTTATCAACAATTTGTTAAAAACAATTAAAAAGCTACCATTAAACAAACAAGTTACTTTGACGACAGATGAGTACAAATTTGCACTCAATGAATTGATTAGAGATGAGCAAAGAATTTTACAAAATGACAAAATTTTTGATAAACTGAAAAACTCTTTAAAGTTATTTGATGGCGAAGACAAACTAATACGATTACGAGGAAGATTTGAAAATGCTAATTTAAACTTTGCAGAAAAATATCCTTTAATATTACGTGGAAAAGAAAGTTTGTTTACAATATTACTGATTCGTAACTGTCATGAACAAGTTTTGCATCATGGAATCGAATCGACGTTGAATAAAGTACGATCTCAATTCTGGATAATAAAAGGACGATCGACGATAAAAAGTATTATTTGACAATGTGTAACATGCAAGAAGTTCCAAGGAAGAACATTGTTACCACCTAGCAGCCGATTTACCTGATTTGATATTGTTAGCACCTAGCAGCAGATTTACCTGATTTTCGAGTTAATAATTTATATTCCTTTCAAGCAACTGGTTTAGATTATGCAGGACCTTTATTTGTAAAAACAGTTAATAAAGATGCTGCCTGTAAGGTCTATGTTTTACTATTGGCTTGCGCGTCTAGTCGAGCAATCCATCTTGAACTGACACCTGACATGAAAATTCCGGCCTTCATAAGAGCTTTTAAGCGTTTTGCAGCGCGAAGAGGTTTTCCTGATCTTATTATCTCCCATAATTTTAAGACCTTTATATCTAAGGAAGTTAAAAATTTTATGATGAAAAATGATGTGCAACAAAGTTTATTCTACCAGCATCCCCCTGGTGGGGCGGTTTCTACGAACGTTTAGTTAGATCTGTAAAAATTACATTGAAGAAAACAATTGGTAAGTCTCTTTTATCTTACGAATAACTCGAAACGATTTTATGTGAAATCGAATCTGTGATAAACAGTCGTCCATTATTTTACATGAGCGAGGATGACACTGAAGAAGCATTAACACCATACCATTTAATGTATGGACGAAACATTGTTAATAAAATGAATGGAATTAGTCTACTACCTAATGATATTTCGAAAAGAGCTATATTTATAAAAACAACGATATTTAACTTTTGGAGAAGGTTTGCAACTTCTTATCTTAATGAACTTAAACAACACCATTTATACGTAAAAAGTAAAACTTCATACAACGAACAGCTAGTATTAAACGATGTAGTTCTTATACGAGATGATATCAAGATCCCTAGAAGTCAATGGCGTATGGGAAAAGTTTTGGAACTTATTAAAGGAGCTGATGGAAAAGTACGAGGTGCGCATTTACAAGTTTTATCCAAAGAAGGAATTAGAACAACATGTTTCCGACCTATTCAAAAATTAATACCTTTTGAAATTACCAACAAATCAAACGAAAATGAACTAGGTGTGATTGCTACTGATGAAACGTGCAGGTCAATTTGTAAGCGGTCGATCAGACAGGCAGCGAGCGCAGGCGAAAATTTGCGGCATTTAAAAGAGTTATATTATTAGTTGACCAAGTCAACATAGGGGTGTATGTTAAAAGTGTTTTATTATTATACGGCTTTTTGTTATTTATTACCGGTTTTATCTGGTTTTTCTTGATTATTCAATTTTTGGATTGTAAAAGTTTTTGTTACGGATATAATAGTTGGTTAACACGATGTTACAAGAAAGAGAATAACTTAGGTAAAGCCCTTCTCAAATAATGTGTCTAAAATAATTAAAGTTGTTTTTTACACACCCATTATAAATCAACGTAAGTTCTTACCACCCTCTAGTATTATTAAATTAAACCAACTATGATATCTACCCGTATAAGCAATTTCATCTAGCAAGGAAGTTTCCGATAGAGCAACATAATCCTGAAGTATTATGATGATGCTATTTGGAAGTTATTCCCTAAAAGTTATACCTTTCAAAGTTGTTTTGTATATACTATAAGTTTCTAAATCTTATTGCACAGGGACTAAAAAGTTCTAGTATGTGTTTTTTTCGTATTATTTAACAACGTGACCATAACATCAATATGTTTTGAGAGATTTTTGTGCAGAGTTTTGGATTTTCTTAGCCAACGTTTTTTGATTGAACATCAGAAAGTCAAAAATTTCGTTTTTTAGCCAGAAATACTCTTTTTAAACTAAATTTATTGAAACTTTTTGCTTTATTTTCTCTTTATCTTTTACTTTTTATTCAGGATTTTTCTTTTTTCATTGAAAATGAGGTTTCTTTGTGATCGTGATTCGTTATTTTTATTTGGTTTATGCTATTGATAAGCAATTTAATAAATTAAAAAAAAAACAATTTAAATTTTTTCCTATTTAAAAATTAAAACAAGTTTTGCTAACTGGTTAATGAAAGTTTAAGTTAATTAATTTAAACTTATTAATTAACAAAGAATTTTAAAAACACTTGTTAGGGTATTGTGATAAAAAACAACTTTGTTTTTGTAAACAATTAAAAAGTTATTGTTTATAGTATATCAAACCTTGAGAATAGATATAAAAACTGTTTCTCTTAAAAGTAGCAAAATTAGCAAGAAAAAACGCTTCGGTAAAATCTCACAGGTTAAACTTACACTACACAATTTCAAAATTTATACGGACTTTAACTTTTTATTTACTTCGGCTAAGCATTTTCATTCAAAACTATTGTGAAAACATAAGATTCACACAAAATATGGTTTCTCAAGGGTAAAACATTGCTCGCGATATAAACTAGGTGTAACCATTTGATTATTTTAAAAAACATTTTAATTTTTTCCCTTTGAAAATGAAAAACGAATTTTTCTAACTTTGATTAAAGAACTTTTTAGTTGATAGATTTAAACACCCCACTTGGTCACTTAAAAACATACATAGCAAAAAGAATTGGCCGGAAATTTTTTCCAAAAAAATTGAATGATTAGTAAAAAAAAAATTTTTAAAAGTGCTTTAAGTCAAATAACAAGTATAAATACTAAACAAAAAGTCAACCTTTAGAAAAATTTTTAGGCACACAAAAAATATGTTGTTTATAATTTAATTGTGTCTTTTTCGTTTTCATACTGTTATCAGGATACAATAATATCTTATATACGTAGAATCAACAACTGAAAATTATAAAAGTGTGCGTGGAGGGGATATATGATTGCAAAGTATGGAAAAATTTAACTTTTGACATCAGATTAAGTTATATCCATTATCACGGAAGTGAAAGAGACAAAGAAACAGCAAGAGCATACGAAAATGGATAGAATGACCCAATACTTGTAAACAAGATGTTAAAAAGAATCAAAAATCTTAACCTAAAAATTTGACAAAGGGTTTTTTTTTTAATTTTTTTTTTTTGAATCCAGTCAGTCATGAAATAAATACTCCTAGTGTCTAGGTTTAATTGAGGTTTTTTTTTACTATCTGTTTTTTTACTAAATCTAATCTCTTTTTTTAATTCTAATTCAATATTTTTTTACGACGCAAGGTTAATTATAAAACTAAAGCTCCTCAAATTAATCATAAAGCTTATATTTACGATCTATTACACTTAGGGTGAACATTGTCCCGGTTTTATTTTAGGAGAGCGCACGGTATATCTTATTAAAATTATTTTAACGCTGCGTTAAAATAATTTTAATAAGATATACCGTGAAATAATTTTAATAAGATATATAATAACTATTACTTTTTCATTATATATGTTAAGAGCTAGTTTCTAACAAATAAATATTGTTAATATGTAAAGAATTTCATGTTTTTGTTGCTCACGTGTAGTTTAAAAAAAAAGAGACTTTGAAAAAGAAACTTTGAAAAAATGTCAAAGAAATAAATAAATTGTGCACCTGAATATGTTTTTACAATGCATTCTTTTACTTCAGTGCTGCTGCCTTTACAACATGGTGCAGGTTGTGATGGATTGCACACTCTTGTTCTGTTTATTTCTCCATAATCATAAACAGTACTGAAAGTAGACCAACTGCTCCATGATATCCATGAACCTTAAAAAACAACTAAACAAATAAACAATTAACCTTTATTAAACTATGATAGAAGCAATAAAAGTAAGAACAACTTCAAAAGCTTATGCTTAATATGTAAAATAAAGCTTTTTTTAAAGTTGTCACGAAGTGACACTAACCCAGCGGATACGAGACGTGTTCAAAACGTAATAAATACGTAGTAACATGAAATAGAGGTCTAAACCACGTCATAGGTCTATTAAGTCAGTATATCAGAGTTTATATTTCAATATACTTAGTATCAGTTAGTGACAGAAAAGTATTTATTCAAAATGATCTTTTTCTATAAGTACTTTTTGCAAATTTAATTTTTGGAATGAATGAACTTTTGATCTTTAGGTTGCTTTTTGAACGAATTGAATTAATAAATGTCTAGATAAGTATTGGTGGTATTTTTGTATTTCATATCTCTTTATATTTTTGCAATGTATTTTATATTTAGAATAAAGCAAGTTGCTTTTAAATCTAGCAAAAATACTCCAACACAAAATAAAATCCTGGAGGGACTTAATAAGTTCCTGGCCAAAAGAACAGTCTTAAAGAACGTAACTAACCTATAGCTGAACAGGCAAGCATATAATAAGGTTCAAATAGGTTCTAGAGATTATCTAAAACTTTATTATTTATACCTATAATTGAGGTACGCAAGAAACAATTACTTCACCTAAATCGTGATTTTTGTTTTAATTAACTTCTTAATTGATCAAATAGTTGTAAAAAATATATCCAACAAACTTTTATTTTATTAATCCATTTCGATTACAACTCTCAAAGCTTATCAATTACATTTCAAATTTTTTCATTTTTTTGCAAAAGTGCTATTTTGACTTGTTACTGGAATAATTATATTACAAAGACTTTAACGCAATATAAATTCAATTTCGGCTTCGTTCTCCCTCCAGCTAAGCTATTATACCTCCTTGATAAAACATAACATTTTTCCAAATGCTTTTATTAACTCGTCGTCTCTCTCTGTTGTCTGTGAGCATCATATCTTGCAATCATTTCTACTCACACACACACAGACAAATGTTAATAAAATAAAATAGTAATATCAGAAAATATGTTTTATTAACATTTAAAAGCACAGGATTTAAAAAATTCGTTTTTAATATTACTTGTTAAAGTTACGTTAATAATGTTTACCTTAATAATCTCTTCTCTAACTATCTTTAATTTAAAAAGCGCCTTAAAATCAATTTAAAACTTTTAACCTTTAGTAAACGTTAAATCATAGAAGTATTATAAATGGAAGTGCGACGCCTAAAAACATCAAAGGTTCCGAATAACGTCACAATAATCATTCCTGAAATATAAATAAGGATTGTCCATTAATTACGTCAACAAAATATGAAGGAGGGGGAATTTGAACTCTTTTGACATTGGTTGACATGGGGTAGGGGGAAGGGGAGTTATTTAAAGTTGGCGTCAACAATTTTTCTTTTTTTTTTGAGTTTCATTGCTTAAATAACGGAAAATTAGGCTGAGATTGAACCGTATTTTCTTTGTAGAGTGGGGGGGGGGGGGGGGAGAATTAAAAGTTGACGTAATTTTACAGGGGGGGGTCTGTGGAAATAATAATCATTGTAGATATAATGTATATAATGTATAAATACGCTGTAGATATGATACACAGATGTACTCGCTGGTATTTCCCATTTTACTTTTATAAATTTCTGAAATGTTTTTTAAATCTTCTATTATCATTATTATAAACAAAATGATCATTGAAAATACTTTTGTTTGTAAATAGTATGTATTTTTTAGTTTTGTAATCGCTTTTAAAGTTTCTAAAGTTTAATTACTTCAAATGTTACTTAATGGAACATGTTCTGTTTTATCATAGCAGGATGTTAGTTTTATTGAAGCTAAATTTGACCTTAACAAGTTTTTTTGTTACTGGTTAATCTACCAATTGATAATTGATGATGCAGATGCAAAGGCGATTTTACAAATAAAATGAGGCTATGGTGAGACTTTAAAAAGTACCGATTGCGTCTTAAAAAAAAAAAAAAAGGTCCTTAAACTCAAAGTTGCCAACAAAATCCGTAAAAAACCCGACTATAACTTAAAAATTACCTACTTGGGAGGAGAGGGTGTAATAACCTGTAAACTTCAAATTATTTATTCTATATCAAACTTTAAAGATTTTACGTGAAAAATTCATTTCAGCAATATCTTTTAAATTTCGATTTATACCATTTATATGCTATAAAAGTTTTATAAAGTTTAATTAGTCTTTGGTTTATAAACAGTTTTAAAATATGATAAAGCATGCTAAAGTGTTTGAATTGTTTCGTGTGTGCTAAAAATATTTTTTTTTGAGTTTATTCTAATTTTCTAGAATAAAAAATAAAACATGACCAGAATACGGGTCATAGTAAGTCCGCTATTCGACATTTAAGTCATCTCATGTTTTTTTAAATTTTTTTAAACCGAGGGTAATTAATAAAGATATTTAAGCAGGTATTCTAAATGTTATTTGGACAGCTACTGATATTTAATTAGTTGATAAATAGCGATTCTCGTAACGGCTACCGAAACGACTAAAAAAAATTTAAAAGTTGAACTTTTTTTCGTTCGAAGCTTTAAAAGGTAAATAATGAGTATAATTTTTGCATATGGATATAGTTATTTTTCTGCCGTTAACTAAAAAGGATTGAAATAAGGAATATGTAAGGAAAATGTCGATTTTACGGGTCCAGATTGCTAGTATCTGTATATTTTCTTTTGGGAAAAATAATAAAGAATAGAAAAATTAAAAAAATATTCTTCTGGAATTTGTCAAAAAAAAGTTGTGTTATGCTTTCTTTTAAGGTATCTGAGTATCTGAAAAATTTCTTATATGATTATATAAGAAATTTTTAATTTTGTACTTAAATGGTTTCATCTTTTTCATAACTTTAGATAAATATATACTAACTTATGCAACTTCATTATTATTAACAATGTTGTGCATTGTAGTCTACATTCTTTGTTACATTAAAAATAATTGATGCAATAAATGTTGTTTTGTAGTTGTTAAACGTTTGCATATATGTTTATATTATGCTCAAAGTTAATAAGTTTTTTATAAATATGTGTATGTGGTGATATATGTTATTTAGTTGTTTTATAAATGTATTTATTCAAATGTGTTTTTTTAATACAATGAAATGTATTTTATCTAATGTGTGCATGATTGTTAAATGAGGTGTTTTTATATGTTATACAACATTAAAAAGTGTATTGTTTTTTATAGTTAGTATATATGTTTATATGTTGTTTCCATGATTTTAAAGTGGTGTGACTTGGCAAACGTGTAGAACAAGATTTGTCAACCTTACCAAGCGGTGTTACTGTTTTTGGTCACGGTGTTGTCTAGCCTTTATTATAACTATTCTGAAAATGCATAACATAATATAATTTTATTACCTTTGTCTTATCTTTATGTTGGAGTCAGTTGTTAAAAATGATTAACAGGTAGTTTCATTACTAGAACTCACTGCTTTTATTTTTTTACTAAAAATGAATCAAGACCATTTCGCTATAAATACATTTTGTTTTACATGAAATAAAAATATTTAACAACTACTACTCCGGTATCACAACAGCTTATCTTTATTAGGTACATTAATTTTCAATTCACCTATGATGTTTTTTTTTGTATTTACTTATTCGCTACATTTTTTAAGTTCCCCGGTGGGATATCGGCTAGCGAATCGCCAGCTATAATCGTTACGATAAAGACAGCAATTTGGCCACGAGGATCGCTAGCTTTTCTAAGTTAGCGAAAAGCTACCAATATTTGTAAAGATAAAAACAGCAATTTGGCTACGAGAACAGCTAGCTTAATTAGCGAAAGACTTACAGGCTATTTTAGCTACCGTCATATCGTAATTAAACCGCTATCAAAAAAATTTTGGTATGTAGCCATATATCAACCAGCTATAGATTTGTAGATATTTTGTAGCTAGCTACAAAGCTACGATATGTAACTAGCGACACATTGCTACAAAATCGCAATGTTTAAAGTTCAACTATTTTCATAATTATAATAGACTCAACACTAAAAATGAAATTTATAAAGATGTTAGTAAAGAATAAAATGAGAAAAAAAAATTGCTTGAAAATTGCTATAAAGCTAGCTAGTCGCTCGCTAGTCGCTAGCTCATTTCCCACCGGGTCAGATTTACAGGCTTGGCCAGGAAGATGATTAATTGGACCAATGAGAAACAATTACAAAAAAAAAAAAAAAGCAATTTGGAAAATAAAATACCTTTTAACGCGACAAAACTTTAAGCAAAATAAGTAACGTTTAGAACATATATTTTCGAAATATCGCTCCTTTATAATTTTTTTTCGAAATATCGCTCCTTTAAAATTTAAATAAAATTAGGCGACGTTTTTTTATATAAAGTAACATCTTACGATTGTTTAAAAAGGAAAACAAATCTTCTTTATTTTAAAAAAATTGCAAGTTTTAGCTTTATCTAAGCTAAATTATTTTACAAATAAAAATTAATTTTTGTAATACTTATTTTATGTTTCGCATAGTTTGAAAAGTTTAACATATTTGAAACATCTCTTCTTAGTACGATAAACAAATAAAATAATTAAATTATTGAGTTACTATAGAAAATAACTAGATAAAAATCAACTGAAACGATTAAAAATACCAGACGAGGAACCGAAACTGCTTCACAATATCGCTGATGATATTTAGTGAGTGGATTTTTAATTTTAATTGGTATTTAAAGCAGAAAAAAGTATAACGAGTTTTTAAGAATGGCAACTCAAGCGAAAATATTTAGAGTTAGTAAACCAATATCTAGAAATTTTTTTTATATCTAATAATTTGGAATATATATTTGTGTTCTGTCGTGACCTCAGGCGCAGTTCTTGTTCATCCGCGACTTACTTTGTATGCATTATTTGTGTTTAGCAACCAAAAACTTCTTATATGTTTGTTACATGATTAGTTTTATTAACTTTAATGA